TTTTTTTTATCTAAAAGATTACTTTAAGATTTATCCAACCACTTAAAAAAGTAAAATTATGCAAAATTGCAAATTTTCCCCTTACTGATACCTTAAGACATTTGTTTGTTTATTTACATGTACACAATGTAAATGAATCACATGTAAACACCTAGGATTGCAGAATTAGGCAGCTTGCAATAACAAAACTGGTAAGTGTGTAGTGAAGACTTCCATTGTGTAGGAACAGCAATTGACACTGTACGTGGATTTGCACATGCATGTGAACTGAGTTGTGTTGTATATTTGTAATTATTACTTTCCAATATTATTGCTAGTAACAATTTAAATTTCCATTCTTTTACAACAGGATTTTTTCATGTCTGATGGAGAATCTTTACACAGATAACATGATACCCGAGTGTGAGGAACAGTTGTTGCGCTTGGAATTTTTTGTTGCAAGAAACTTTGAGTAAGAGCTTGTGCACTGTTAATTACAAGTGCTTACCCTATGTTGTTTAACTTAAATAATTAATCGGCAAGTATTATATGTAACCTTACTTAACAATCATCTCTCTTATATATCATGGTCAATTCTCACCCACCTGGAATTCAACCCATTAAGCTTTCATCCACATAGATGATAAGTGTTTACTATAGTGCACAAAAATAATTTCATAACCAAAGATAAATTAAACTTATTCAGGTATGAAACATATTCCACAGATCCTTGTATGTAAGGGGCACCTTGTTGAATCTTGGATGGTTCTCTTGTGGGAAACAAATTTTAAAGTTGTAATCGGTCCTTGTTTAATTACTTGAAGGTGCAAAGCCATTTTGACTTCCATATTTCTGCACAACTGCACAGACCAAAATGTCGTACTTTCTGAAAATTGAGCTGGTTATATTATTCGTGAGTCACTTTTTCTCAATCCTTTTTCTCTCTCTTCGCTTTCCCACATCAATCTTCTTTTAAGGATTGTGCCTAATTTGGGCATTTTCAATCTTGAGGCATTTTGTTGAGACATATATCCTCTGTGCCTACATTTCTGTGGCATGGTGGTTCATGTCATAACATAAAAAAAACAATGTACACTCTAAAAGTTGGTGTCCATGGCAACTGACTAAATTGACAATAGTTAGAGTGTAAAATGAAGTTTTTGTAGTAATTATTGTAGCTAGTGGTGTTTTCAATTAAGTAAATGGTAATAATTATTAGAAGCCTAAAATCAGGCTTAAGAGTCCCTGTCCATAAAAATGGAAAATAACTCGGCAAGG